AGTTTTGTGGTTTGGGGTCATATTAGAAGAGGTTTCCTGGTTTGGTATAAGTTGGTTCCTCTTTTTTGAACCACTTTGGGTTCAAAAAAAAAAAAATCTTTCCAGTTTTCAGGGTGACTTTTGCTCAAGTAGACTAAAAATATGGCCTCTGAATTCTGGTGTGGCCATCTATATGCTGTACCATGTCTGCTCAGAGGTAAACACTAAATGAGGTAAGGACTCAATTTTAACTGCTTAATAAATGTTTAAGAAGAATGATAATATAACATTTACTAAAAATGTCAAATATTGACTAAAGCTAAGGCAAATATTACTTAAATTAACAGTGTATCTGGGCAGCCATGGAACCGAATAAAACAGATGGTGATTATGGAAAAATTGAAGATTACATCAGAAGACAGTTATTTAACAAAGTTCCAACTTGAGTCTTGCCATCCATTAATTTATTTCTTAAATCTTTTTTTTTTTTTCCAGAGAGCTGGGTTTCACCCCTGGGTTTCTTTACCAGGAAGAGGACTTCAGAAAGGCTCTAGTGGAAAAATCAATACAAAATTCTCTAATTGATAATATTGTATTAGATATGGTAACTCTGTATGTTTAGCATTTGAATATTTATAAAATTAGGTGACTCTCTTATCCGCATTTCCAGGATTCCTTAATAAAATCTTCATTTTCTTATTCAGAGTATTTGGAGGAGTTTAGTACTAGGATTATTTAAAGAAATCATTTCCTTAGGTGAACTAAAAGTTGACAGTAAATTGGAAAGTCAAATTGACTGCTGCTGTCATCAGAGATGAAGTCTGGCTGAAATCTTTGTGTTTTGTTTGTCTTGAGATTTCATGAATTATGCCTACACTGGGTGTGGTACACAGTACAATAAGATTTCAAGAGTACTTGTTTTATGACTAAATGGCTTTATAAGCACTTTGTATTGATCTCTGACCTATGGGAACCAGGCCACATTTTAAGGTTTTTCTTTCTTTCTTTCTTTCTTTTTTCTTTAGGTTTTTATTTCTATAAGTCACTGCCATACAAATTCTTCTCTGCCAGAGCCATAAGTTAAAGTCATGCTGGTCTACTTTTTGTCTATCTCTTTATTCATGTGAGGGTCCTCTTTCTCTCTGCTTACCCCAATCTTATCCATTTTTCAAGATAGAAACTCAAGCCCAAGCTCTTATGAAGCCCTCCTCAGCCCACAGAGATTTTTTTTTTTGGGGGGGGGGGGGGAATCACACTTTATTTTTATTAGTACATGTTTGCTGTACATAATGATTATATTCATTGAGCCCACAATGATTTATACTATTCATCCTTCCTCTCTTTTCTTGCATTCCATTGCTGGCCTCCCTGTCTTAATCAGGAGACTCATGTACCATTAATATGTCAACCCAGCTTCCAGTCACTCAGGAACATCTACAAAGTATGGCTGTATTGATTTCCTAGGTCTGCAGTAACAAAGTGCCACCACAAACTGAGTGGCTCAAACAGCAGAGATTTATTGTCTCACAGTTCTGGAGGCTAGAAGTATGAGGTGAAGATCTTGACAAAGTTGGTTTCTTGTCAGCCTTGAAGGAGTTAGCTTCGAGGGAAAATCTGTCCCATGCCTTGCCCCTGGCCTCTGGTGTTTTGCTTGCAGTCTTTGGTTTGTGGATGGATGGATCACCCTGATTTCTGCCTTCATCTTCACTTGGTCTTCTCTGTCCCCGTGGGGATGTTCGTTTCTGTCCAAATTTTCCCTTTTTATAAAGACATCAGTCATGTTGCATCAGGGCTCACACTAGGAACATTATTTTAGCTTTCATACTTCTGACCCAAATGAGGCCACCATTTTGAGATACTAAAGGTTAGAACTTCAACATATCATTTTGGAGGAACAATTCAGCCCATGACAGTGACCCACATGAGAAGTGACTTCATTAGAAATTTGTCCCATGCATTGGAATCTTTGCCTTGGTGGCTTTTGTTTTGAGACTCAAAGGTGAAACACTGTAGGTTTCTGTTTCTGTGGCTTCTTAGTACCCATGGCCTGTGCTGCCTGAACAGTGGTTTCATGTTTTAGCTGCTTTAGAAGATGAAAACAAAACAAAAAAAAAAGAAGATGAAAACCAGAAGTTAACCTTTCTGGGGCCCCCAAAGTGAGTTTGAGCATACTTAATTTTATTTATAAAAATTGACTAATATTGGTTGATAGGCCATAGAATATAAAAGCTAAGAGTGTGAGCTCTGGAGCCAGATAGCCCAGTTTCAAATCCCTGTTTTGCCTCTTACTGGGTGTGCAATTTAAGCAAATGCCTTAAGCTCTCTGTGTGCCTCAGTATGTCCATCTATACAATGGAAATCATAATAGCCCTAATCCAGTGACATTCTTGTGAAGATTAAAAAATTGAGTATACATATAGCTCATTGCAAAATGTCTGGCACATAGAGCGTGCTCAATAAGTGCTGATATAGTCACCCTGTATGTGTCTCTGCTTGCACTTTGTACAAAGTCTACAGAAGTGAATACATAGTGGTTGGCCTTCCACAGTTTGTGGTCTAGAAGAGCACTCCCTTATGTGACTGGCACTGAATGTTCTGACCTCTATTATTGGCATTGAGCTCATCTGCTTTATAGTTGCCCATAAAGGGAGAAAACTTCTGCTGGGAAGAGCTGAGCTGTGGACCTAGCACTGGGCCTTAGCCAGGACCCTGTCCGGATCCAGGAGCCCCACTGGAGGTGAGTCATCATCACCTGCCAACTTCTCAGCCTCCCCTTGCTTGTGGAAGGAATTTGGCCAACTGGTCCCTCCATTGGTGCCAGAGGACTCACTTGGCCAGCATCTAGTACCTTATCTGCCTCAGCTATTGCTTCCCCATAGGACCTGTGCCGTCTGTGTCCAAGGCTTGGCTTGGGGCCCGAGTAACCACTCCGATCGGCACTCAGTGCCCCTTCAAAGCAGGGTGGGAGTCTACACACTATGTGGATTTCTTCAGGGAACTTTATCCTCATATGGCTGCTGACTCAGTACAGTTATGACCATCTTGCTTGGAAAAGCTTGGAAAGAGGCACAGGCTTAGACAAGATGGCCTTAGAGAGGCTGTGAGCAAGACAGCTGAGGGTCCACGCACAGACAGCTGCCCAGAGGAAGTCCTTGAGTGGAGCCTTCAGGTATGAGGAGCCATTTGCCAGGCAGATGGTGAGGAGGAACAAAGGCTTAATGTCAGGGAAACTGTTATCATTTCAGTTTGCATGATGTTTACAGAAAAAAAAGGCCAGAGGTGAGGCCACGAAAAGACCACGATTTTGAGCCTTACTGAGAACTCTGTGCTTTGGTAGTTATTGGGACTTATTGAAAAAGTTATAAGGTGATCAAAAAACCTCTTTTTTTTTTTGAGATGGGGTTTTGTTATGTTGCTTAGGCTGGTGTCTTAATTCCTAGACTCAAGGGATCCTCCTGCCTCAGCCTCCTAAGTGCTGGGACTACAAGTATGCATCACCACACATGGCTTTAGTTTATTATAGTGGTGCCAAGGATTGAACCCAGACTCCTGTGTATGCAAGGCATGAACTCCACAACTGAGCTACACCACCAGCCCAACCTTTGTAATCTTGACAGATTCACAGGCTTTTGGGTATTTGATGAATTAATGAACAGGAAGGAAAGTGGAGTGGGCAGAACAGAGAACCACAACTCTGGAAGGAAAGAGAAAAAGACCATTTAGGGGGCCAGGGATTTAGTTCAGTGGTTTTGCTGCCTGCTGCACAAGCACAAGGACCTGAGTTCGATCCCCGGTAACAACAACAACAAAAAAGACCATTTAGGGGATGTTTGTAACATCCAGATGTAAAAATTTAAGAACCTGAAAAGTAACATTTCCCTACAATCGGTGGATAGACAGCCTATTTAAGAAATAGCTCTTAAAAGACTTGTGAAATGATTGGATAGAGAAGAGAGAAGAATCTCTTTTGGACGACAGGATTGTGGTGATATGTATAACCAGGGTAAAATTTATGGAGAAAGGACCCTGTTTGGGGAACAGGAAAGTAGATAAGACTATGCAGTCCAGCTGTGGTAGTGAACACCTGTAATCCCAGCACTGAGAGGCTGAGGCAGTAGGATTCCCAAGAGGCCTAAACTATATAGTGAGACCCTGTCTCAAAAAAAAAAAAAAGACTAGGCAAAGGCAATGAATATTGTTGTTCTTGTAGTACCTATTATGGGATGAATTGTGCTTCTCCCATTCCTGTGTTGAAATTCTAATGTTTAGGACCTCAGAATGTGACCGTAATTGAAAATAGGATCTTTGCAGATATAATCAAATTAAGGTGAGAATATTAGGATGGGCCCTAATCTATGTTTACCTTTATAAAATGGGTACATTTGAACACAAAGATAGACATGAACATAAGAAGAGTGCTATATAAAGATGAGGGCATATGGTGTATCTACAAGCCAAAAAACCACCAGAATCTAGGAAAGAGGTTTGGGACAAATCCTTTCATGGCATATTCAGAGGGCTCATGGTCTTGCCATTGCCTTAATTTTTGAGTTTTGATTTCCAGAACAGTGAGAAAATAAATTTCATCATTCTCAGCCACCCAGTTTATGGCACTTTATTCCAGGATCCCCCCAAAACTAATACAGTACCCCATTATATTCAGCTGGAGATGTCTGGGGCCATTGATGCACATGTCTGGAGTTCAGGAAACAGCATTAAGTCAGTGATGAAGTCATCCTTCTGTAGATAGTGCGGCAGACACATGTCATTTCTTTCTGACCATCATTCTTTCTTTTAGAGGAATATTCTAGAATAATCTAGAGAATATCTCTCTACCACTCTGTGTAGTCACGGTGTCATCTCCAGCTTGTAGACAGAGTCTATCTATAAGAGGAAAAGAATTTACCAAACATTCAAAGAGAAAGCAAAGTAGGCAGAGAAGGAGATAATCAGAGAAAAAATATCCTAGTGGTATTAAGTCCTGAATTCTGATCCCTGGGGCTCAAATTCTTACAGATCTTCTAGGACTTTTGTGAGCTACTCTAGTCATATCCTTAGTATCTCTGTACAAAGCAATATATTCTTCACTTACATTGAGAGTTTGAGTTATCACCTGTCTTCAAAGGAATAAAATGTTAGCCAAAATTGTGATAGCAGATGAGGTGGTGTGTGTACAGTAAGAATAAGGTAAGGATAGGATACCAGGAACCCTAGGGAGGAAGAGCCCAAGAAAGATCTCTAAGAGAAGTGGGACTGTACAGAAGGTAAGAGAGAAGTGGATTATGATTCTACTGGGGAATAAAAAACAAGAAAAGGGAGTGTCATGCATAGCAGAACCTGAATCAAGTAACAGGTGAAAATACAGCCATTAGCTCTGTCCTCCAGAAGGCTGGATTAGTCAACCATACTGTATAATGACACCCCCCCCCCCATTAGCAGCTTAAAGCAACAAACATTTCATATGGCTTTTGAGGGGCAAGGATCTAGAATTGGTTCACCTGGGTGGCTCTGGCTCGGGGCTTCTCATGAGTTTGTGGTCAAGTTGTCACTCAGGCTGCAGTTTCTGAAGGTTTGACTGGGGCTGGAGGATCCACTCCCAGGATGGTTGGTAGCTGGAGGCTTCAGATCCTCCCTTGTGCATCTCTCCAAGGCACTTTTCAAGTTACAGCTATCTCAGCGCTTGTGATCCAGAAACAATTATATCTTTTTCTAATGTATTCTTGCAAGTGATAACCCATTATTTGTACCATATTCTGTTCAGGAGAAATGAGTCATGAAGTACATCTCACTCTTGAGGTGAGAGGGATTGTTTTCCATCTCTTTTTAAGGAAGAAGTATCAAAGAATTTGTGAGTGTATATTCAAAACCACTACACACACCTTGGGCAATTTCTGCCAGAGCCACGTCAGGGAAGTAGATGGAGCAACAGTGGGCTGAATGGGGAAAAAACAAGATACACCAGTCTTTCTAGAAAGCTGGTTCCCTGGAAAAGAGGGATAACTTGATTATTGGAGGAGAAAGAGTAGAGAGTTTTAAAACTTCCTATACTCTTTATTTGTTAACATAGGGTCTATATCTTTATATATTTATAGTTCTCCAAGTATGAAGAAGTTGAAGTCAATATGGGTTAATAGGTTTGGAATTGGGGCACTTTCTCACAGAAATGTCTTCTACCAGAAATGAAATAATCCTACAAAAACCTACTTAACACACATTGTATCTCTGGTACATGATAGTGCCATGTGTTACTGTAAAATCCACTGCAATGTAGTGGATTCCCCATTGTGTAGAGTACATTACCAGGTAGGGCCTTTAAACCTCTTTCCACAAGGAGACCTAAGGGCATCCTTATGGGGAATGCCAAATGAGAGCAGAACCCTTTACAGTGGTAGACCTCAGTGTTCTATGGAGCCTGCCAAACTTTTTCTGTGACAAAGTGTCTTCAGCATTCCAGCTTACCATTGGCTGCAGCACATCTCCATCTCCTAGGCCCCAAGTGCCACTTCTCTGGGTTTGAGTTGCTTGGGATTGTGTCTTCATAATGAGAAGGAGGGGTGAAGGTGCAGTGTGAGAAGGAAAGGGCATGAGGGGAGCAGCATTGGCATGATTTGAAAACTTTCTATGCCTTTTTATAGTGCTTTTCACTATAATTGGAGAAGTGGGTCTTATTTTATCATTTTTAAAATTTAAGAAACTGAGACATATCTGTAAAATATTGGCCAAATTGTAGAGTCACTTAACACAATAATAATAGATTTTAAGGAGGGTATTTCAGTTAGTGGCATGAGGGAGGAAGCTCGACCTGGCTTCTGAGAACTGATGTGATAGGGGATAACTCCCTCTTTCATCCAGTTCCTGGCCACTTCGCCCATATGCAGTCCAAGCTCGGGGTGTAAGATGTGTGACTTCCTTAGGATAAGATTGAGGACATGGGCTGTTTGGGGAGCAGCCTGGGTGATTTTTTATTTGAAAGAACTAAGGAGATAGCTTGCTTAGAGATTGAGAGCCATGGTCTCCATTTGAAAGGACCAACAAGCAGGACTTTTGCTTAGTCAGAGATTGTGAATATAGAATCAGTATGTTCTTCTCACTGGGGAACTAAATTTAGAAAATTTTTATGCCAAATTCTGTTAATAAGGAGAGAAATTTCAGTCTCTGTTAGATTCTGGACCTTGAGAAGTCTTTGTTTTCTCGAAGATGGGGAGGTGAATGATGATTTGTTCAGAGCCCTCTGTCCTCTCCATCCCTTCTGCCTTGTTCTTATTTAATTTAGGAGTTCATATCATACAACACTGGCTTTAAGATTTGTCTGTCCTTGGGCCGGGGATTTAGCTCAGTGGTTTCGCCGCCTGCTGCGCAAGCGCAAGGACCTGAGTTGGATCCCCGGTACAAAAAAGAAAAAAAAAAGATTTGTCTATCCTACAGCACTAAGGAGAGCAGCCTGAATTGAGCAAGAAGGAAGCTGTGGGTTTGTTTGTGGTTAGTTTTCAAGCTCTTTTCTTTACATTTAACTCTAGTCTGATTTTAAAACTTTTATTGTCCTGTAGAGACTATAAGTTACTTAAGAGTCTTTGTTTATAATCACTGTTAACACCAATTCCATCCCCAAACTCAGGACCTTGTGCTTGCAAGGCAGGCAGCGACACCGCTAAGCTAAATCCCTGGCCCTATTTATTGCTTTTTAAATGGAGAATTAGAATATGCAAATATTAAAATAAGGAGATACAAAATTTTGGAAGGACATAGAAGAAACTGTCAACAGTGGATACTTACAAGGTATTGGTTTAGAAATCCAATATATTTTGTATATGAGGTATGATTAAAAATACAGTGACTATAACTGCTGAGTGTCATCCAATGGAAAGACAGGATCTTCAATAAGAGAGGCAGGGGTCGGGGATTTAGCTCAGTGGCACTGCGCCTGCCTTGCAAGCACAAGGTCCTGAGTTTGATTCCTGGTACCAAAAAAAAAAAAGAGAGAGGCAGCACATTGAATCTTGGTAACAGTGTGTGACATATTTCACTTGTTTAATGCAGTCATTTGGTTGTGAGCTATGGTTGTGAGAATGTATTTTTGTTTGTTTGTTTGTTTGAGACAGGGTCTTACTATGTAGTTCAAGCTAGCCTTGAACTCACTGGGTAGCCCAGGCTTGAATTTACAGCAGTCCTTCTGCTTCAGCCTTTTGGGTGCTGGGATTATAAGTGTGGGCCACATACCTTCCCTCAAGAAAGTGTGTTTCAAAATAAGTGTACCATAAATTTTGGATCATGAACAATGCATTAACATGAATGTCATTTTCACTGGAGTGGCGTGGTTATGCCATTTCAGATTACAGCTTTTCAAGACGTGTCATCACAGGAGATGAAACTTGGGTCTGTGGTTATGATCCTGAGACCAAGTTTCAGAATTCTCATTGGAAATCACCCCATTCTCCTCATTTGAAAAGTGTATCAATCAACATCCAACATCAAGGTGATGCTGACTGTGGCAGCTGAGTTTGTACCCAGGAATACTACAATGAACTCTGGATATTTTAAGGGATTATTAAAGTGTTTAAGAAGCCATAGAAAATATCCTGAGAAATGGGCAAACAGTTTCATCCTCCATCATGACAGTACTCCATGGCACCCTTTACTTCTGGTGTGATAGTTTTTATCAAAACCTTAAAGTGTGTGCTTATCCACCGATTCACCAGATTTGGTACTGTGTAACATCTGGCTCTTCCCCAAAGTCAAAATGAAAGGTAAAAGTTTTGGGTCAATTCAGCACATTGAGGCAGCCATGACAGTGCAACTAAAGATACTCATGAAAGAGGACTTCAGAACTGCTTCACAAAGTGGTAAGAGCTATGGAGTAACTGGGTTCAAAGTGAAGGTGGGTATCTTGAGGGAAATTGATGGCAATGTGTCTTTACTGTAATACAAATTTAAACATTTACCTTTTTTTTTTTGTACTGGAGATCAAACTCAGGACCTTGCGCTTGCAAGGCAGGCAGGGGCACCCCTGAGCTAAATTCCTGGCCCCAACATTTAATGTTTCGATCATACCTTATATATACATTTTTAGACTTTTTTTCAATTTTGTTTTTCCCATTTCTTTATTGCTTTGGCTATTTAGTTATGTGTGTGTGTGTGTGTTGTTTTGTTTTTTGAGTCAGAGTCTTGCTATGTAGTTCAGTCAGGCTGGCCTTGAACTTGCAGTGATCCTCCTGCCTCAGCCTTCTGAGTGCTGGGATTACAGGCATGCGACACCAAGCCTGGCCTATGTAGTTATTTATTTATTTATTTATTTATTTATTTATTTATTTATTTATTTTTTGTACCAGGGATCGAACTCGAGTCCTTGAGCTTGCAAGGCAGGTGGCAGAAACACTGAGCTAAATCCCTGGCCCCTGTGTAGTCATTTTTAATACTGCAGTAAGTGGTGGTGAAACTACAATCTAAAACAAAAGGTAAAATCTTTATAATTACATTTAACCGGGGCCAAGGATTTAGCTCAGTGGTTTTGCCACCTGCTGCACAAGCACAAGGACCCGAGTTCGATCCCCAGTACCAAAAGAAAAAAAAAAAAGTAAACATTTAACCATGTGTTGCCTCCGCTTCCTTCCTGAACCTCCCACCTCCATCCATGACAATCTTCATCCTGAATTTTATGCTTATCTTTCCTTTGCATTCTTTTTATAGAGTTTTATTGCATATGTTGCTAAAAAGTATGTATGTTATTGTAGGTGCCTTAAATTTTAAGAACAAAAAGTAGGAAATATTGTGATTTCTCTTGGCACTTAAGTTTTTCAGCTGTTATTTACTAAGGTTTTGAAATTCATCCAATTGTTTGGTTCATGCATTTTTGCCTGCTATCTAAATGCTTTATAAAGACTATGTTGGTTTTATTTTTGTTTGTTTGTTTTTGGTACCAGGGATCGAACTTGGGACCTTGCGCTTGCGAGGCAGGCGACAGAACCACTGAGCTAAATCCCCGGCCCTATATGTTTTAATAACAACTTGGTTAAATGATTAAAACATTAATATAATTATTAAAAGGATTATCATATGTACTAGCAGATTTAAAAATAGAATTTATATAATACTTTAGTGGAAAGTAATATTGCCCCTCACCTCTTCATATATAATCTTTTTGGAGCCTGGATGTTTGATGCCCAGTCTTACTACCTTACTTCTTTCTTTCTGATTTCTAATAAAAGAGTCAAGCTTATTGAAGGTATTATGTAAAGTTTAACCTAGCAGAAGTTATTGGAAGAGCAGTATAACAACATTCTGCATGAATTGTATTAAGTTTACATTTTAAAGATACCAAGGAACTTTTAAAATTTCTTTTATATTAGGTTTTATAAAGACTTATTTATTTTAAAGCCACTGAGTATAAACTTTTTTCTCTCACCTTCATTTACCCTACTTTCCCAACCTCCAAACAAACCTGTGTAACATTTGTGTTTTGTAAGGTATATGGGAATGTTCTTCTTCATTTGTAATTCAAAACAGCATTGATAGTTTTATGCAAATCATGGTGAAGAAATTGTTCCTATATCTACTGCAGTGATGAAGAGAATTATTTGAGAAAAATTTCCAGGGCCTCTAGGCTTTCCTCAGAAATTCAGTTACTCTAGGCTAGCTGTCCTCATGACCTTTGCCAGGGAAGGGCTTGAGGGCCCTATAGGTCCCCAGTGAGCCACACACCCCCCTTCTTGAGGGACCTCTGTTCCCAAGGAGACACATCCATGAGACATGGAGATTTTTTGGTAAATGCTCAAAGGTGAGGGCTGGCTCTCTTCCCTTAGAAGGATTCAGGGATGGCAAGAGATAAGACATTTCTAGGAAGAAAAGAACAAATAGAAAACCATGAGAAGATAAAGGACTTGAGATAAGAGGCAAATGAGAAAAGCATTTTCTGCCAATGTTGTGAAAAGTGGAAGAAATAAGTCAGCTTTCTTTGGAGACAGAACTAAAAGCAGCTAAGCAAAAAGGGACTTAGCTTCTGCTGTAAAGTAGTTTTATAATAATGAGGAAAAACTTAAGGTCATCCATGATATTGACCCAGGGATACTCAGAACAAGGTCTGTGTAGATCACTGGAAAAAACACCTACCTCCACTGTGGGATTTCAGAACCACTCTGAAAGCTCCCTCACCCCCAAATACCTCAACTGCTTAGTTCTTGACCTGCATAAAGGCCTGAGGCTGAGAGTGGTGGGGCAGAGACCTAGCCTGCCCTCCACTAGCTAAGCTGTGCCATAGAGCCGCTTCCAGTAGGAGGAGGGCGGACATCTTGCCAGGGGTTGTGTATGTCCAGAGGAAGCCTCTTTCTAATCCCTGCAAAGCTCCCCAATTCTTGAAAGACCATCCAGAAAGAAGAGGCCATTCCACCTTGCAGTTCATTCACCTTCATACAACTCAGAAAGTGGCACCTCTGCAGGCAGCCTAGTCTAGTTGTCACAATGTAGAGATAATGTGGCACAGCAACTGAGGCCATGGGTTGGTGGGTGTGATTCAGAGGGCACTTTTTCTCAAGGATTTCAGATTCACATTCAATCCTGAAGTCTGGGGTTTTGATCCTTGCTCAAAGAGCATGTTTCAATGTGAAGCTGTCAGTCATTTCTACCTTACCATGAATCCAGGGTAAGGCTTTGGAAACCATCCTGGTTACTGGCTTTGGGAGAGGGCTGGAGGCAGAACCAGAAGACCATGCTACTGAAGGGGAGCTTGCATCCACTGTGGAGTTTTGTCCAGGGCAGTCTGAGACTAGAAGAAAATGAGGAGAGAAGCCAAGGAATGGAAGCCTGGAGGCTGCAAGGTCAGCTGGGGCCAGCCAGGATGGAGCTGAGGACACTTAGAAATTAGCTTTTATGTGGATCACCACTGACAATAGACCAGACCAAGGCCCGGAAACAGGCCAACTCTGGGCAGGTCAGGCCCGCGCCTCCCAAACCAGACTGTCTATATTCTTGTTTTCTGTGTTTATTTCCCTTTTACTCTTCCCAGTGTTTAGTAATATTTCCCCAAAGTCCCACCCAGTTTAGCTTATCAGAGCAATAGAAAGTGGACTACTGGGCCATGGTGGAGGCAGGGAACACAAGAAGAATTGAGGCTCATTGGTTCTACCCAGTTTTCTCTGTTCCTCTGGGCATTGTATTTTATTAAGGGAGAGTTTATTCCGGCTCCCTTCTCAGATAGGAATACCTCTTTTAAGGGTCAAGATGTTGTACTCTGGCCCAGGACGGTGAGCAATGAGGTACCTAAATTTTGGGGGGAGAGGGAGCTACATTATTTGTAGGACAAGCTGATAGATCATAGATTGGAATACAAAATTTATATGAAATGTAAATACTTCACACAGACCTAAAAATAAATGTCTGGAAAACAATGAAAACAATTAGAAAAATTAAATAAATGTATAGTTTCTGAAGGATAGCTCCCAGGCTTGCTCTCAGGGTTTCTTGAAATAGTCATTCACTCTCTTCTGCTGGTTTGCTTTTGTTTTTCTTCCTGCAATGCTGGAGATTGGACCCAGGGCCTTTTCCACATTAGGCAAACACTCTACCTCTGAGCTATAGCCCCAGTCCTGTCTTTTGTTTTTGAGAGTATTTCAGCACAAAAGCTTGAGGAACTTCCCAGCCGTTTGCAGAACTAAATGAGGCCATTAGGCAGTGAGAATTGTGGAGAAGAGGTTCTTAAGCTCAGTTTGGATGTCCAGAGAGGGCCTGGATTGTTGAGGAAGCTGGCTGATGCCGTAGAAGGAGCGAAGACTTCTCATCAGAGGAAATTTTGAATTTAAATGAGTAATTGTGGTGCCAGGTTACTCTCTAGGAATTCACGTAAAGCCCAGAACATCTAAAACAAGAAAGGACCTTAATTCCATCAGGTGCAGTCTCTTCTTACTGCTGGTGGAGACCCACATCCTAGAGAGGTTAAGTGACTTGCCTGAGGTCACACAGCTAAGGGCAAAGATAGAACCTGAGCTTCCCACCTCGGAGAGGTAGCATACTAGGAAGCAAATTTCTGTCTCTTATTTTATTCCATCTCCAACTTTCAGGATAAATTGTATTCTTAATTACAGCTAAAAGTTTCTTTGGAGTGTGATTGGGTAGCCTTTCACCATTTCACTGATTCGCTCACTCTTTGAACAGGTTTTCATTGCTTTCCTGTTGCATGCCAGGCCCAGTGCAGATGTGGGGAATATGAGCATGAATTATTTCCTGCCCCCAGGAAGAGTGGAGATGAGATTAGGATGGGAGACAGGTGGCAACCACCACAGCCCATCAGGACAAGTGTGGGGCAGCCACGGTGACAGGTCTAGGAAAACACGATTATCTCGGTGAGACAGGGTTACAGATGGGGAAAGTCAGGGTGCAAATTTATGAAATAGTAGGGATATAGTTAGTTGACTGGAACGTAACCTTTTGATAATAAAGTTCATTCTGCCAGAATTCTGGAAATATTTTGAAGAAACTTGTCAGTGTGTTGTTCTTGTGTGTGTTATACCACCAAGGGTTGTATTCTTTAGTCCCCGGTAGGCCACACAATGGAAACATCTTGTAACCTTCAGAGAGAGGACATTATATGTTGCCATAAATGGCAACTAGATCATTAATCACAGTTTATACCTTCCCATATTACTTCTTTTGTTTATGCTGCTCCAACTACTTGGCTCCTCCATGTATTTCAGACATACTAAGTACATTCCCACCTCAGGGCTCCTCCCTCTGAACACTTGGTGCTCCTCACTTTTATTCTGATCTCTGCCCAAATGTCCTTTTATTATTATTTATTATTTTATTATATAAAAATATTTATTATATAAATATATTAATATAAATATATATTTATTATTTAAAATTTTTTTTATTAGACAGGGCTTTCCTGACCACCTCAAGAGGAACAGTAACAGCAACCTGTATTGGGTTGAATGATGGCACTCCAAAAGGTATGCCCATTATAACTAGTATGTACTATTGAAAACTGGTCCACGTCCTAATCTCCAGGCCCTGGAAATGTGACCTTATTTGGAAAAAGGGTCTTTGTAGATGTAATTAGTTAAAGATTTTGAGATGAAATCATCTTTAATTATTTGAATAGGTCTGAAATCAAATGACAAGCATGCTTATAAGAGTAATAAAAAGATTAGCACAGTGATATATGTCTAAATCCCAGCACTTGGGAGGCTAAGGCAGGAGGATTTTGAGTCCTAGGCCAACCCTAACAGTGAGACCCTATCTCAAAAACAACAATAACAACAACCAAATTTTTTTAAAAAGACAAAAAGTGACAGAGGGAGAGAGACAAAAAGAAAGCCCTGTGAAGGCTGAGACAGCCCTGTGATACCAGCTACAAGGTGTGGGCCCAAGGACTGCCGACAGCCCTCCAAAGCTGAAGAGCATCAGGATTCCCTCCTCGAGCCTCTGGAGGAAACACATCCCCACCAAGACTTCAATTTTGGACTTCTGGCCTCCAGATCAGTGAGAGAACTGATTTCTATTGTTTTAAGCCACCGAGCCTTTGGTAATTTATGTCTGCTACAGGAAACTGATCTACAATCCAGCCCTGTCACTTTCTATCCTTTTTTTTTTGGTATTGGGGATTGAACTTGGGACCTTGCACTTTTGAGGCAGGCGGTGGAACCACTGAGCTAAATCCCTGGCCCATATCCTTTTTATTCTTACCTTTCTTTAGAATCTATATCTGCCTATCTATATCTGAAAGCATCTGACACATTTTTTATTTGCCTGGACACATTTATTCTGTGATTTCTAATGCAAACCATGGTCTTTGTTTTTTATTCATTGCTGTGTCTCCAGCATCTAGAACAGTGCCTGGCACAAAGTAGGTGCTTAGTAGTCACTGAGTGGGTGAGATATTGGGTTCTGAGACTGTCTAGTAACTTGGAATTACTTTTTGCCTAACCAAGGAAACAAAAGAATCCCAGTTCTGGTGATACAGAGTTGCACAATGGAAGAGATGTAGATGTTAGTCATGGCTCTGCCACTTAGCAGCTGATGACGTGGACTCTGAGCCTCAGTTTCACTGATAGCAGTGTAAGGTTATACTCATCTTTACTTTCCAAGGTCACTTTAAGGGGTGAAGGGAATGATGATATTGAAAGAGTGACTTGTGTGTGGCCAGGTGTAGTGGCACAGGCCAAACTACATAGCGAGACCCTGTCTCAAAAAAAAAGAAAAGAAAAAGGAAAAAGAGTGGCTGACTGGGTTAGAGCTTGGTTAGCAGTGCTCAGGATGGTTCTTTTCTTCCTATTCAGGTCCTGAGACTCACCATACAGGCAGAAAGACCGTGCTAGGTGTGGCCATTTCTTCCTGCATCAGCCAGTAGGTTCCTCAGTCACGTTCTCCCAGGGCCCAGACCTTGCAGTTCTTGTTACGTTTAGGATTTGCTTAATTGCAGATAGTAAGCCTTATGATTCTCTCTTGTGACCTACTGGGATCTACAGTATATTTAATTTCCATCTTTGGACACCAACTCTTACCCTCACTTCATCCCATTAGCCTTTGTGTTATAAAGAGAAAGAGAGGCCATTTTCCACCGGTAGGTTTGTGGTGCTTGCTGCGTCCATCCATGTGGGAGGCGTCGGCCTCTCACAGCTTGCCCTGTAGGGTTAGCCCTGCACTGAATATCAGTTGTATGATTTATAGATAATAGCATCCAGATTTTGTTTTAAGAAATCATATATACATATGTATGTATACACACATGTATGCATAGACACAGACACTCAGGTATCCATCTCTCTCAAAAATACTGGTTGGAAACACGATGTTAGAAATGTTGACATTTATTATTTCTGAGGTTTTGGGTTGTAATGCTTTTTTTCTTGATGTTTTTCTTCACTTTCCAAAATGTAAATGGAAGATGTTTCTAACTCATTTTCGTAACAGATAAAACATCAGGCTTTGCTTCTGAGATTTTCTTTCTAGAACCAGCTCAGAATATAAATACTAAGGTTAGCTTCGGTGCAAGTGCCTGGGGATTTCCACGAGTCTTGAGCTGATCTCAAGAAAGATGTGTTTGTCATTTCTTTCCTTTCCTTTTCTTTTCTTAAGCAGTCACACAGACACCAGACTTCCATAGCAAAAAAGAATAACAGGGCAACCATTGTGTATTAGAATTTTAACCAGGATTTCCCTAGTCTGCTCTTCCTCTTTATGGTTTTGTTGGTTCCTTTGATAAGAACTTTTTCTTGAGATCATAGGCAGACTTAATTTTATTTTATTTTTTTAATGGGAAGACAATTTAAAGCATTGAAATCATCACACTTTTTGAGCTTTTGGTTAAAAATAGAACATCTTGTATAATTCCCAAGGAAAATCAGTTCTGTCAAATCTCATTGCTAATTCATAAAGGGCATTTGACTGCTCAAATAGAAGAGAATGAGCATTCAATGGATATTTCTAAAGTTGTTATTTCTTAAAGAAGTTTAACATCCCAAGTCTGAACTCGAACCAGTTAAACTTAATCCAATGGTGATAAATTTGATTTTGCATGAATTAAAGTAGCATTTGCAAAATAGCTCTTGAAAAAATGTTTCATTTGTATTCAACATCAGCATATTTTGCTTTTCTTTTAAGGTTGGGAAGAAAAGGGTTTCAATCACACATTGTAGGCAAATGTGTTATATGTTTTAATGTGGAGGCAGCATAAGTTGTTATTATGATAATGTTAATAACACCTTTCATGTACTACATTTTGGTTGACATTTAATCCTAATTGAGAAAAACCTAAAATTAATCTTTGTAAGAAACAAGACCAGAGTGGCTAATCAGGTTTGGAAGTGGGACTAATGGCACTATAATCAGATTGATGAGCTCTTAAATATCTGATGTGAAAACCATGTCATGAAATAACAAGAAAGAATCTGTGCAAAAGTCTTTTTAAATTTGTCCCTTGTCCTTTATTTTGCAGTTTGTTCAAAAGGCTTGTTACCTCAGCTTCAAAGCACAGATCCAAGATATTTACCAGCTGGTAACTTTTATTTTTTAATCAGCTCGGCTTTCCTGAGAAAGTCACAAAAGGAGGGGGAAAATCATTCTTTACCCTCTTTCCGCCAAGGGTGAGATGTTACTAGTTTTATTTAGGGGACTGGATGAACCATGAGGCTAGACACCCATAAAATGATGCAGAGTTTGGAGGAGGGGCTGAAGATCTTGCTGATTGTGATACTTCATGGTTTGCAGGTCTCTTTACAGTTAAGTTGTGTTGTGTATGAGTGTGATGGAGATAGGCAGCAGGGGAACTTGGGAAGTTAGCAGGACAGGTTTTGGGTTTGAGCACCAGCTTTTCACAAATGTGAAATTCCTCACCTTAGGCAAAGAAAGGCTGGATGGGAGTCTTTGTCAGAACATCTGGCCCATAGCATCCATAAGGGTTTCTGGAGGTAATGCAGCTCAGAAAAGAGTAGTTCAATTTTTCCTTTTCTCCCTTAAGAAGCAGAAGTCAGTGGTATGTGTTCTACAGAAAGACTCCCATGAAATAATATAGAGACCATCTAAAACCCCCAAGACTACCCAAACCCAGGAAGAAGGACCGTTAGCATCATCAGTTTGATGACCAGTGTCATGATATCAATATTGAAGAGATCAGCAGCCATGTGCTCACTGCTTCTGTATTTTTTCAGAAGGGGTTGTTGAAGTACGAGGGTTGTAACTTTAGATGCATGTTCTAAAAGATACAAGGAAGAGAGAATTGAAAAGCTGAACATTATTAAAATTTAAAAATTCTGCTCTGAGAAAGACACTGTCAAGAGCATGAAAAGACAAGCTGCATGCAAGAAAATATTTGCGAGATACAAATCTGATAGAGGACTGGTAGCCAAGTTATTCAAAACTCTTTAACATTGAACAATAAGAAAATAACCCTCAATTTAAAGAAGACTTAAGGGCCGGGGATTTAGCTCAGTGGTTCTGCTGCCTGCCTTGCAAGCACAAAGACCTGAGTTCAATCCCTGGTACCAAAAAATACAATAAAATAAATAAAATAAAGAAGACTTAAGACCTTAACAGACACCTCAAGATATAAAAATTGCAAATAAATGTATGAAAAGATGCTCAACATTATCTGTCATTAGGGAACTGCAAATTAGAACAACAAGGAGGTCCCATTACATATTTATTAGAATGGCCAAAATCTAGATCACACTGGCTGGCAAGTATGCAGAGAGGCAGAAACTCATGTGTTACTGTGGGAATGCAAAATGGCACAGTCATTTTAAAAGACAGTGTAGCATTTTCTTACAAAAGTAAACATTCTCTGACTGTATGATGGAATAGTTATGCTCATTGGTATTTACCCAGGGGAATTGAGAACTTATGTTTACAGGAAAACATGCACAATTTACAGCAGCTTGATTCATAATTGCCAAAACTTGGAAACAACGAAGATGTCCTTCAGTAGGTGAATCAATAAATAAACTGTGGTACATCCAGACAAAGGAATGTTATTCCATGCTAAAAAGAAATATGCTGTCAGCCCATGGAAAAAATGTGGAGGAAACTCAGTTACATATTACTAAATCTAAGAAGCCAATCTGAAAACATTCCATACTATATGATTCCAACAATATAACACTCTGGGAAAGGTGGGACAGGCAAATCTATGGTGACAGAAGATCATGGTTTCCAGGGGTTAGATGGGAGGGATGGAGAGATGAGTAGGCAGAGAACAGAGATTGTCACTCTACATTTGTCCAAACAGAATAGAATGTACAACCCCAGAAGTGAACCCTAAAGTAAACCATGAACGTTGGTGATAATCTCATAAGGACTCGTCAATGTAGGTTCATCAGTTGTAACAAATATACCACCCTAGTGAAGGATGTGGAAAACAATTTCTAGCAAATGAAAAATTGCAAGGAGGGCATGTTTTACCCCAGAATTTTGAAATTTAAGGTACTGAAAATAAAATCAACACCCATTAGCTGTGTTGTAGGGCCCCTCAAAATACTGCTCAGTTGCTCACAGTCACTGGGGTCTGAGGTCAGAGATTTCTATTCACCTTAATTCTCTCTCTCAGTGATCCATGCTGATGCATTTCTTAGCAGACAGTGTGCTGCCTCCTGAGCTTTTCCAGCCTCTTGGCAGGAAGCACCCTTTCAGTAGTACAGCCAGTTGTCCTCAGTCCCTTTCTGGCTTCCCTTTCTGTTCCCCTTGTCACTCACTGGCATACAGCTTCCTCAGGCCACCTGCTAGGAGGGCATGTCCAAGGTCCCGGCTTCTTTGACAAGGTGGAGTTTTCTGTCTTGGAAGTACTGCACTTTCTAGAGTCTGTTGCAAGATGAAAATGGAGAATCCGGTGAGCACTGCAGGTGTCTGGAGCCTGAGCTCACTGGCTGCTCTTGAACTGTCACTCCCACCCCTTTACCCAGAGCACCCGAACCATCTTCTCTAAAGCCCTGCTGGCTCCCACTCACATTGCAGGCTGAAAGGCAGTCATCAGAGGCACCCCTTTAGAAGTGACCTCTCGTTATCAAGAGTTAGACTCAGCACTTCGTTTTTCCCAAGGTCAAATGCTCTCCAGGGACCACACAGCTTAGTTAGTGTCTACCATCTTGGCTGAAATGAAAATCTCATGAAGGATGGGTGGAAATCCTGATACACCCAGGATCAGATGGGAGACTAATAGTTTCACAAGAAATTTTTGAAACTAGTGACAGTTTCACCCTAGTGTCCTGATTTGAAGCTTCAGGCCAAAGCAAGCTCAAGGAACTTGCAGGGCATGAGAGTCACTCTGGAGAATGTCATCAAAGATTCCATGGAAACCGAGAAAAAACAAAAACAAGCAAACAAACACCCCCCTAAACCTGGGAAGAAACTTCAAGGCAGCTCTGGAACCTTGTGTTATCACTGCTGAAGGAACCTCAGTTTTCCGGCATAACTTCTGTGTTAGAGCGATGAGAAAGGGAAGGCACGAAGAGGGCTGAAGATGTCAAAAGCACAGAGCTGGGACAAGAGACCAAGGCTTTGGCTTTCTACCCCGGGCATTTTTTATTGTATCTGGTGGCAGCTCTGTTTCTGGTGCCTTGAAGTTCCTTTCCCTTTGAGTTTTTGCTTCAACATTAATGTAGTTGCATATATTGTTTTTTCTACATCACTCACTGTGCTCATTTTTTCATTTCATTAAAATTTTTTTTATTTTTGCAGTT